ATGATCTGTCACATATAGGCCCAGGCCTTCACTGTCCACATGCTCATGTTCGCCTGAAATTTAGTTCCACTTTGAGTCTTCATATTTTGTCCCAGTCCAAATTACAAAGGCTGATTTTGTGTGATCTTGTTTTACGCTCACGTTTAAAAGAAATTAGTTTGAAAAAAATAATATGTTGAATCAACGCTTGTCAGTCAAATAAAAGGAAAAAAAAGCTAAAGGGTAGAATCTGCAATAAGCCCGTTGTGCATGTGAAATAAGCACGATTTCTTCAGCTTTTTATCTCAGATGTTGCCTAAAATAGTTAAGAGACTGTACAATGAACTCACCTCTTTGGACACATGGACAGTTCTTACAGTGGATAAGAGGGACGTTGTTAAAGTGCCAGCAGAAGGCGCTGTTGCCCAACAGTCCGTCTCTCGGCACCCAGTCACCCGCGCGTCACCGGAAGGCTCCTGAGCTCTCTGATTGGCTGACACGCTGGCCACGTGACCTGACTCATTTTTGAAAGTGGTTGTGGGGAATCTCGTACCGCTGTAGCAGCTGGGCGATAAATCAGAGTTTATTATCAGTTGAGATCAGCCATTATGATTGCGCATTGCTGCACAAACCCGCACAGCAAAAGGGCAAACAGTTGTTTAGCGTCATTAGTTAGGTTCTCACCATCAGCACAGTGGATACTGGGTTACCAGAGACCACTTCCCCTAATAATGTCAGTGACACAGCTGTTTCAGCCTTTCCCCACTGATTCCTGAAAGTCTAAACCGTGCGCCCAACATCCAGCTCATGATGCTGAGGATGTTACAGAGAGAAAGGAGAGCTGGTGGTGCAAATGTCAAAGTTTTTCGGCGCATAAAACTGCATCCAAGCCGTTAACACATAAAGATATGAACTAGCAACAGAACTATGTCAGCGCAGCTGCTTCTATCACACACAGGAGGCCATTCAGTGGTTTTATCCTCCAATCATTGCCAGGAAAAGATTTCTTTATGAGGACATGCGCGTAAAAAGTGACAAGCCTCTGATTTGATGCCCTCACATTTATTATACCTGCCCCTCAGTGGCAACCACCCAAACCTCAACATCATCAGGTCTCTTCAGGAAAGCAAAGGAGGGGCAAAAAAAAAAGGCTGTGCGCTGTGGGACTGGGCCGGAAGGATGAATGACATCAGTCTTACTGTGGCAAGTTCACTGGGGAGATCTGAGCACAGATCAGTCATGCATGTTTTGTGTTAACACTTCAGAGGTCAAATTCGAGGGCTATAACTAGATCTGCGCTTCAATCACATCACTTGAAAATGCCAGTGGGATTATTAATATTAATGTAGAGGCACTTATAAAAGTGTCAGACTTTGTTGTTTCCTCAAGGATTTTAAAAAGTTTAAAATCTGAAAATTACTGCAACACAAAAAATAATAATAAAAGTATTTTGTTATTTCGTCCCAGTGGCCTTCTGTCCTTCTGTTCCCGGTTCCACCATGACAGTTACAACCCCCACCCCCGCACACCCCACCCCGCTTCCTCATTTCTACCTTTACTTAGACACATTAGTGTGTTATCGAGTAAGTGCAACTTTGAGGATTATTTATGGTCCTGTGCGCGCTTATGAATGGCTGCGAGGAAACACGTGATGCCATTAAAGTTTGTTTTATGGCCTGGGACCTGACAAGCCAAAATATAATTCTCATTGTGTATTAGTAAGGCCGTCCAGATGGTTTGGAATAGAGCTTCAAATGGCACGGAAACCATACGGGGCAGACTTTCCCTCCAGCATGGATGACTTTGGTGCACGGTGTGCCATGCGTTGCTGCAGTCTCTGTGGTAAGCTGCATTTTTATCATTATGCTCGTTGTGTATGGGGCGTGTGATGTCACATGCGTGGTGCTCGGGCTGTTTCCTGCCTCTAAAAGCGACACCAGCTCAGCACAGGCAGCTCCTGGTGGGTGATGTGCTGCTGTGAGGGACCTGTGTTTGGTTTGGGTTTAAAGCTTTCTAAGACTCTGACGATTTTTTTTTAAATTTTATTCTAATTAATTTTATTTTGGATGGCGTTAAATTGTTGGTGTGACTGACTGCTAGTTGATTTAATTGATATTAATGGGCTTCTTCTTTACTTGGAGGCGGACAAATCAACCTGTTGTCAGCAGAATGGGCATTAATGTTCAATCTCAGATCGGCTGTTTTCTGTTGTTTTAATTTACTTAATTCACAATTCGTCTGTCTGACAAATATGAGCTTCGGTTTTAACTATACAGACATTTATAAACAAGAAAACAGCCCTAAAGTGAACAACAGCTCTCACATTCTGGGGCTGCACTGCAGGCCTGACCGCGTACTGCATGGGTTTAAATGTTTTATTTCAGCAGTCACTGTCAGAGATCCAGTTTAATGGTAGTTAAATAATATATAATGCAAAATGTTAAGCTTTTATTTTGTGTCATTGTCAGTCTACAACGCTCCATTACTTCGCCCAGTAAATTGATTAAACGGGCCTCGTATTTTCTGCTGCTTTCAGACACTGTAGATAAGGTTGTTGGATAGAAAAGGCTCCTCGAATGTAACAACCAAAGAGTAAAGTTGGCCGAGTTAGCCTTTCGTTTCACACAAGCTGCCAGAAAACGCTGACTTTATCTTTCTTTTGTCGTGAAACTCGGCTTTGACCCGTCTGAAGGAGCAGCAAGGCGAGGTGAAAGCCAGGTCAGGCTGTCTAACAAATATACAACTGTGAAGTGCAAGAACGGACTTTTATAGATTGCATTAACTATTCTGAAACTCTGGTTGCAACGAATAATTTGTGCTTTTGTTAGAATTTTAGTAGAGATTGCTAGAATAGAGCTGGTGACCTATATCTGCTTCATGTCTTTGTTTGAAAAAAAAAAACCCATAAAGCATCAAATCAACTTCCAGTCGCAACCAGTCACAATATTACAGTATATTAAATTTAACCACTCAGAATAATAACAAGTGATTAAAAAGTTCTTACATCCTTGTGGTTCACCTGTAGTGCAGCCCTTTTGGCAGGCTGAATCAGAACTTGTTTCAGGTTTTCATATTAATTTAAACTAAATCTTATAGTTGCACAAGGCCCCATGTGATGCTGTTATCATTTCTGGCACATAAAGTTTGTTTGAGAACAATGTTGGGATGAAATGCTTATTCCAAAACTAATTTATGTCTTTGAAAACATATTGCGCTGGTTTTGTATTTATATTTCTTTGGTTTCATCTGGAAAATAACAACCCAATAAAAATAATTTCCAGTTTTATTATACAAAGGATGCTTCAGAAGGCTGCGCAGTGGCCGCCGTGAACGTTTAGTTATGGCTGGGGGAATTTTTCGCCCCTTTTGGTGTACCGCCAGCCGGAGTAAAAATAATTGAACTTTTTGATAAGTTAGTAAATGATTTAGTTTGACCCTCGTGGCCCCTCACCTCATCTTTTGGCCAGCCGTGATAAGCACCCCCATATTAGCCTCCATGACGCGTCAGTAGGCTCGAGTCCTTATTTGCCAGAGTGTTTTCCTTGGCTCTGAGCTGAAACTGATTTATATTATTTTGAGAAGCAGTTTTTTTTTCTGCTGTGAACCTGGACTAAGATGAGGAGGGTGGAGAAGACACTGCACAGAAACTTAGGATGACCTGGGTTATAGCTGATCTTTTTGTTTCAGTGTACTCGTCCCAGCTGAGTCTGTCAGGAATGCTCTGGGCATGTAGCCTGTAGCCCTGTAGGTTGACAAGCTACAACACAAAGATAAAGAAAAATCATAAAAAGCCTAAATGCAGTATGGAAAGCACCAAAACGAAAGGAAAGACTGAATGAACACAGAACTAAATAAGACACCGACTTCGTCAGTGCGTATTTTACCACATCTGGCTGTGAGATGTGCTTCTTGTTGCGGTGATGTCCTCTCATCCTGACTGTGACTGTACATTTTCTGTGGCTAAGTGCTCTACAACTAAAGTGCTGTGGGGCTAAAAGTGGCCAGTGTCGCTTCCCGTCGTCTATATATACCCTGTAGAACCGAATTTGTGTGATAAAACCACAGTCACAGATTCGATTCTAGGGGAGTATATGGTCGATGAAAAAACTTCGATTTACTGACTCGCAGCGGGCCTTCGGTGTGTGATGGGAGTAAATGTGACAACGCCACACACTTCAGAAGTGGTGCTCTGGGCGTGTTGAAACTCTATAGGCTTCCAGGAAATCTGATGCACAGTGTTTAGCCTGCAAATAAACAGAATTAGGAAGGAAGCGTTCTGTTTAGCCCACTATATTGGAATGAAATGGATTTACTTTTTTATAAAATCAAAGCCTCGGCACACTGCAGCTGAAGCTTTTCCCCCCCCTGTGCCTCTACAATATTGATTCCCAGAGGCGACTGGTGATGCTGCTGTTCGCCAACAGGCTCCTGAGCCAGTTTTTTTTTTCTCCAAAGGGATGGGAGCAGATGAAGTGATGAGATTCGTGTAACTTTTGGATGACCTCTGCTTGACAAAGACTGTCTCCATCAATTGTCCTCAGTCATTATTCGCTGCTTTTATGCCAAGGGGCTTTTTGTATCTTTTGTTGGTTTCTCTGTTGAACACCATGCCTTCAAGTTAGACATTAAAAACTGAAGCATTTTTTAGACGTGTTTGGATGAAACAAGTCAGTGCCACCCTGTGGGTTTATTTCGAGTTTGCTTCTTGATTCTAAAGTTAAATATTTAAGCAAGGTGTTTGAACTGTGTGCACTTTTTATTTATTTATTTATTTATTACATTTCCAACATGGCCTTTTTTTTAACACACTAAAGTTTCAGTCAGGTTTTTGGTTTTTTTCCCACCAGGGACTAATTTGGGTGTATCTTAAGTTGGATAAAAATCGCCGTTAGTTGTATGTTTACCCGTTTTTGGACCAGCATCACCTCTATTGGCCGATCTGGTCACATGGTTCGCTAACTTTATTCAGTTGACACCAAGTAGGAGGGCTTTACGGAGGGAGGAAAAAAAGACAACTCGAGAAAAATTTTATTTTCTACCTTCAGAAATTAATGGCCATGAGTTCGTATATGGTGAACTCTAAGTATGTGGATCCCAAATTTCCTCCCTGCGAGGAATATTCACAAAATAACTATATACCTGAGCAGGGCTCGGACTACTACAGTCCATCGCAGGACACAGACTTTCAGCATCCAGGGATCTACCCACAGTCAAACTACACGGAGCAGCCCTTCAGCTGCAACACTGTGCAGGACTCCACAGTGCAGCCACGGGGTCATGTGCACGACAGACCCAGCCACCCGAGCCCTTTTAGCGCACAGACTGAGCAGGGGCCCCCGGTCCAAGCGGCCGGAGCCCGGACTTTTGGACAGCAGCAAAACACAAAGAGCCAAAATGGGATACAAGCCAAGCAGCCTGCAGTAGTTTACCCCTGGATGAAGAAAGTCCACGTAACTACTGGTAAGCTTTCCCCTCTTTCTCTTCTTCTTCCTCCTCTTCTCTTATGGACCAACTGAGAGCTGTAGTTTAGAAATCATTCAGTGTAATATTTATGGGAGTCTTCAAAGGCCTCGCCAATTACACAAGTCATAAATTTTTATAGCTCAGGAAACAGGCCAGTAGGTGTGCGCCTGAACGCTCCTGAAAACATATATTGACCGGTTGTAACGGTGCTAAAAAAAAAAAATCTGCAGCAAATCTACTTAAATTCTGTTAAAATCGTTCATTTTTCGCTGCTCTCGGTTCTGTGCCATTTTTTTTTTCTTGAAGTTTGAGCGCCCCGGGCAGAAAGCTTGTTGTATTGTTTTTGCCTGCACGGTGCACTGGCCACATTTGGTGACTTCTTTCTCTGGCTGTTGTTGTTGTTTTCTTTGTCAACAGTGAACCCGGATTACACGGGATCTGAGCCCAAACGGTCCAGAACAGCTTACACCCGGCAGCAGGTTTTGGAGCTCGAAAAGGAGTTTCATTTTAACAGGTATCTGACCAGGCGGCGGCGGATTGAGATTGCGCACACCCTTTGTCTCTCCGAAAGGCAGATCAAAATTTGGTTTCAAAACAGACGGATGAAATGGAAGAAAGATCACAAACTCCCCAACACCAAGGGCAGATCTGCACCAGCCTCCAGCCATCTGCAGAGCAGTCAGAAGGACAACCAGACTGATATCACAGCATTATAAGAGGAAGGTGTCACATCTTCAGAAATTAACTGTAAATAAAGGACAAAGGTTGCATCTGACTGTTGCATGGACTAATGTCGTTTTTAGCCACTTTTTTATTTAAAGAATACGACCCCCAGCAGTGTTGACTCGAGACTGAGTCGTAAAATCAATCAGTCTTTATAACTGAGAGGTTTCCCTTCCTTGTTAATTTCTTCAAAGAGACACGAAACATCGAAACAAACTTTTTCCCACTCTCTCTTTTGTGTGTGTGTGTATGTGTGTGTGTGTGTGTGTGTGTGTGTTTGAGTGTGCGAGTTTGTTTTGTTTTTGTTTTTTTTATTCCGGGACGTTTCACCCCTGAGGACATTTATTAAGCAACCTCGGCTGCTTTCGTGGATCTTAAACAGGATTTTAAACTCTTCTCATGTGGATTCACGTTGGTTTAAAGATAGAAATATCTTTATCCAGAACAGGAAAGTCCCTCGTTCAAATTACACACACTCACACAAAGGTTACTTCAGTTTTTTGTCCCATTTAACTTCCCATTAAACGCACAATACGCATAAAAATACTTGAAGGAAACACAGAACATGCCAAACACGAGGTCAATTGCAAAATCCAGTTTCAGTTACACGTTTCTTTGTAACTTGTATGTTTTAACTTATTTTGTACAATAAAGCTTTGAAATCGTCTTAGCCTAAATATTATTCCACAAAGCAAGACATTCCTGTGTGCACACTATTCCGGGTGCCCTTATAAATCTCTCCTGACGTCTTTGTAAACAGTGTACATTTTCAGAGGCTCTTCTCAGGTCATTTGAAACTCCTTTATGAAAGATCGTTTGTTCCTGCATGGCATCAAAATGATACTGAATGTTTCTTATCGAAAATAATCAAATGCAGAATATTTAAGAATGTTTTATATGATTTTACGTAATTATTTATTTGTTTAAAAGCCTGTAAAATGTTTCCTATAGGACACCTACAGTTTGAGTTATTCGTTAAACATTTAATTACTCATCACTCTTCAATCATTAGCATGGCTTTATGCAAAGATTTAGTCTAAGTTTACGTGGGAATCTTATGGTTTTTTCATTTTACACCGAACTAACCGAAGAGGGGCTTTCACGTCACGTTTCAGGGCATATTTTTTGTTTTACACCGGCTTTGTCTTGAGACAAAAAACAAAACAAAGCCCAGAATCCCTTCCAGAACAAGGAGGTCTTCTTTCTGAAGTCTTCACGATGAGAGAGTTGAAAAGGTATTTTGAACCGAAGGTCGACAAAAGCAGCACTGGAAGGTTCATCCAGGGGACACGTTTCAGCCGCAAGGACTGACCCCAGCACCCCTGACCCGCCGGACAGGCAGCGGGTTCTCTCCCAGGCGCTATTCGCTTTGGTTTGGAGGGATTTGTCCAAAAGTGTTCGAAGTAGGAGTGAGTGTGTGAAGTCTGCAGTTTTACACGGTTAAAATAAATTGACATCAGGCGCAGCCTCCACAAGAATCTGATGTGTGCATTTGTCTCCTGCAGTCTTTTTTTTGGGTTTTATTTTTGTACATGCTTTCTACCTTGTATTGTGCTTTGAGATGTGAGAAGTATATTGGACAAAATAAAGATTTCTACTGATTATGCATTTAAATGAAAAAGACACTTCGTCGCTAGATTTGTATTTTCTTTCCCCTGACCCACGGAGGGGTTTTTACAAAACTCTGTGTGGTTGCTCACAACGGCCTTTTATTTTTATGTGGTGTTTAGTCTTAGGTGTGTTGCACAATTGGATCACTTTTGTTGGGAAATTAGTTTCCCCCTCTCTTGGTATCGAGCATGTGAAGCCATATGGGCCGATCGTCTCGTTTACAAAACATGCACAAATGCACCAAATGTGCGCTGCATGGGCAAATTCAGCCTCTTCTCCTGTCAAGTCTGAAACTGAAAATCATGCATTTGTTACTGCAACAGGATCAGTGGGGTTTATATGTAAAAAATGATAAAGAGTGGGGTTTTTACTCCGTGGTGCCTTCATTTTCAAAAAAAGGGGCGCGTTTCCTTTTTGTGGGGCTTCTCAAGGTGATTCTGTTCAATGAAAACCTTTGGATTTCTAGAAAACGTTGACTTTTCTGTTTAACCTCATCAGTCTTTATTGTAAAACAAAGTCAGATTATGTTTGCTGTCGGCTTTAGACTCAAACTTACAAAGAAAAACTTTGTCAGAGGAGGCAGTCCGGCTCCAAACCCAGACCATGCCACTTTCATCAGTGCTCAAATAGGATATAGGCTATGGGCAACTATCGTACTTAGGTTTCATTTTAAGTTCCCCTCACAAGTTCTGACTCCACTGGAGATGACCCCCCCACACACAAACCAACAGTGGAGAGACAATCTGCAGTGTTTTCATCCCCACTGACCACATGGGCCTGTAGGCGTGTACAGACACTCCCGTTGGTCTCTGTGTGAAATATAAGCGTGTGTCATATGGATTCTAATATTTTAAAATAACTAGCAAATGCTCTTTTTAAATGTATTATTTAGGAGCCATTTCATATAAAAACCAGAGCCCATGCATTAAAAGATGAGCTGAATATAAATATATCTGTATAGTTTTCTCCAGCTGTTTTCAGGTCAGAACAGCTTCCTCCAAGGTGCAGCGTGTAGCCACACTGACCTATATGTCTAAACAGCAATAAATGGGAGCCAAAGGCAGTGCCATTTTCAATGACACTGCACCCAGTGCAGGAATACAGCGTCGCTGCTCTCCATCCGGCCATATTTGATTTCCAGCTGTTTTCGCAGAAGCCTCTCCGAGCCAGACAACCCCTCTAAGATATATTAAAGTGCGCTGTCTGCATTCAGAGATATAATCCAGAGACTATACCACTCCGCTCTCTATTCTCGACCACGTGATTGTCTAAATAATTAATGCAGCACGTCCCCCTAGAAACACGGCGTCGTCATTAATCGCAAGGACTCTATCAGACTTGAAAACTGAAGAGATCCCCCAAGAAAATAATATCCGATACCCGGCACAACCGTAGCCCTGCACTTTAGCAACACATCCGAACCGATGGATGCTTGGGTAGGTAAATATTTCAGCATTTTTCATGTTACCCGAGCTGGTAAATGACGATATCAAATGTCGTGATATTTGATAAATTGCTCCCTTTGAAGTGTGCGCTCCGAGCAGGTTTGTATAGGCTGTGGCTGGTGGCTGCGTGCATGTCCTTTATATATGAATTATGCTGGAGACGGCGGGATTTGGAAGTTTGCTATTTACGCATAAATCTTGAAAAGGATTGATGGGATAAATCGTAAAAGCTAAAGGGCAGTGACATGGAGGCTATTTATGGGTGCTCGCACTGAATAACTGCTCTTTCGGACACATGGTTCATTGTGGCCCCTCCACAGGGCCCATTGAGTCTTTATTCAGTCTATTTCTTTCTTTTCTTTTCTTTTTTAATATCAATTTAGCTCAAATTTAAAAAAAATGAGCTGAATATTTCAACAGCACTGGAATTAAAAAGGGTTTAGTCTTGTTTGCTAAATATTAATGAGCGTATATTGATTCTTATTCCAGGTTTTCACTGTGAGTAAAATGATATATATGCACTTCCTTTTGGCTTTGTAGGGCTGTTTTATTGCTAGCGGGGATGATCTAATTTTGATTTCGTAGAAGTGTGAAAGTTTGGGCAGGCTGACAGTTCTGCCTCCTTGTAAATCATTCTCAGTAATTCCTGAAAGGGTGCGAGGCTGCTGGGGGGGCCAGGCGAAAACTGTAAATCTTTCACTTTTATTACCCTCTGAACATATGCTGCGAAGCTACCGGCATCCCTTCTTCTTTCCCAGCACAGACAGCAAACCGCTGAACGAGCCGACGCTCTCTGCGGCTCCATGGCTTCTTCATCCAGTCCATTCTGGGCTTTTGCAACGTGTTTAGCCTGTTTATTGCTTATTAAACCGTGCTATTGTGTTATTTTCTCCCCCGGTTGACATCGAAACACAGCACAGAAGAAGATATGGCTGTATCTCCGTTTGTGTTTCAGTAGTGTGTGAAGACAGACACAACAAACAAAAGACGACAGTGTGGTTTATTTGAATACAATGCAGCCTCAGTTGAATGGGGGGGGAAAAACTCATTTGTTTCATATATCATTTTAAAAAATGCACATCCCACATCATTGCACTTATTGGGGATCCATCGACGGATGGCACTACAGCCTTTGTTATTCTACACTATTACACCAAATAGTCGACTGTGCTGCGTCCTCGGTTCCCCTATTGCTACAGGTTTTATTGTGAAATGTCGGGTCATTTCTGTGTGTGGAGAAATGATGTGAAAGTCCCAAAAAAGCGTGGAATTTGTTTTTAGTTGCTCTGATATTTTCTAAACAAATATACACTGCGCTCTATTGTAACTAGTGCATGAGAATGTGCAAATAGCCAGACAGCAGCATATGTGCTGTTTGTGTTTAAATCCTGAAGTGCAGCTGAGATGTGAGGCTTGCAATTCACGATAAAATGAAAAGAAATAGGCGCTGGAACATTTTCACACAGTTGAGAAGAGGAAATAAACGCCACCCTTTGCCAAAATGGATTGGTGAGGTAAGGCTCAGTTGAAGAACAGGACAATCACGTGAACAAATATGCTTGTATCTTAAGGCAGCGCCTTTATTTGTCACCATAAAGCTTCCGAAACCCCCCCAAAAAATCTTAATGTTAGCTCCAAATCTTGTACAGGCCTGTCCGTTTCTGGATTCTTGTATATTTCAGTGGGTGATTGATTGCCAGGGATCTCTTTTTTTTCTGGAATAAGGATACCTTGTTCGCTTTTTATTGGTAGTTGAATGCGAGTCCTTCCATTCTTTCGGGAATACTGTCTCCACTGGTGTATGGAAATGTCTGAAAAACAGCAAGATCAGGTTTAGGACAGCACTGTCTACAGACAAAAGGTGAAGGATTTATTCCGGTGACTGCGTGGAAAGGAAGTGAGACTGAGAGGGGAAGCTAGTTTATGATGAATTGATTCACAGGTAAGAAACTGCAAAGCACAAAGCAACCTTTAACCACGGGTTAATATAATGCAAGGAAATAGATATGATTTATTCCATTCAAGGAGGTGATGCTTGTTAATGTCGCCCTCGACCGTGCGCAGTCCACGGATGCCTCTTCAAAACTAGATTCCTTTTTCTAACATTATCGACAGACTGAGTCTGAGCTGCTCTTTTCAGCTGATTTCACGTTTCCGATGAAAAGCGGCTCAGAGGAAGAAGTGGGAGAGAGTAACTTTTCTTTTTGACTCTCGGATCGTAAATCACATTAATTTGTTGTCTTATCGTCACAGTGGCGTTTGCGGTGATTTATGTGGTTTCGGCTATATGGCTTTGTTAACCTGCAAAGGTATATTATACATGAATTCATGCTGGATGTTTTAAAGGAGAACCGGGGCACATAGCCAACAAGGACAAAGGCAAATACTTGTATGTTCTTACTATTTGGATACATCACTGAGTCAGCTGTGTTTGGTTCATTGCAGCTAATGGGAATATTTTTCTTGGTGTTGTCTATATAAGAATTAACAGAAGGCCTGAGTCGCAAAAACAATAAAAAGTTGTATTGACGTGATTATTGCCCATTTTGCTAATAGAGTAATTGTTTAGCAATGAATTAAGCTTTAATTTATGTAGGCCTGCACTACGTCTTTATACATTTATCTACTTGTGACTGTGCGTCTTTTACAATTCAGCCTTTGCTGCTGAATTTCTACCGAGGTCAGTGAAACCCGCAAAACATTTTGGTGCCAAAAGGGATTTATCATTTTGTAAGCAGCCCCGTATTTTCCCCCCACCAGACAACATCAGACTTTGCATTTTATCACCTCAACAGCGAGAAGAAGTCCAGCGCTGTGTTTGTTATAGCCTAATAGCTGCCATTATGTGTCGGATGTTTCCAACATTGCCCAACAATAACAACACGCCTCTGAAGGCTGTTTAGCTTGAAATATTAGTAGAATCCAAAGGGGTAACCAGGACAAACGACTAACTGAGATAATAACACTCCACATTGAGTCCGAGCCATTGTGTGAACCAAACTTACCGTAACAACGCGTAGGCGAAAAACACTGTGGTTTGAAAAGAGGAGCTTGTCTGCTACTAGTAACCCAGTGTGCTCCGAGGCACTGGAGGCGCAGATCATCGACCGGCTTTAACAAATATTCCACAATGAGGGGATCTTAAATCTCCACCATAATATTTGAAAGTAATTATCAGAAGAACAGAGGCGGGTTTCGCCCTCACTGATATAATGAAGTGAACATTTCTGAGCTTTCATTTCCACTTTCTTGCCGTCGCTCCAGTATCTTCTCCTCTGGTTCTGTCACCGCTGAAAAGCTGCTTTGAATTTAGTGGAGACTTGCGTCTGTACTTGAAGCCACACTGCTCGTTGTTCATTAAACTTTGGCTTAATGCTGAATGACCCGAAGGTCACCTAAAAAGCTTATGACTGCTAAATATTTGGCCTGGGTCTTTGTATGAAAGTGCATGTGTAAGCCTTTTCACTATTAAGTAAATGAAAGCAGTAACTTAAAAAAAAAATTGCATGTGTGTTCTTTGCAGCGAGAAGAAATAATTTGAATTAGAAATTTTTACTTGAACTTTTATAATTAAATTACAATAGTTTCTGAATATTTTTAAGGTGTGAAGATCATTGGGGCTGAAGTTAATATTTATTTTGTGTGCTTCCAATGAAAGGCCCGCGCTTTGCTGCCATTTACAAGAAACAAATCTCTAATAAGAAGATATTTTTGTGTCGTTTTGTTTCCCTCCCAGGTCAAAGTGAGAGCAGTGATGAAGGCGTGAGGGACAGAAAACAGATCTGCGCACATTTGGGTGAGTAATATTTCCTGAACGAAGGGAGTGAACTGCTAAGGAGGTGAAAGGCTGATTTGTTATTAGGCTGCACATTAACGCTTACTGTGTTTCACAAGAGACTTAAATGACGAAAACAAACGTGAGGGATGACTTTAACTGAGCCTGCATGTGTAATTATTTACGCAGACCAGAGTCCGTTTGCAACAGTTCTGCACGAACCAAGCGTAGGCCAATGAACTCAACACAACTTCTTGTTTGTTACTACAAAGATAAATAGAAACCAGCTGGTTAATACGTTTATGCAGTCTTTACACATTCTTCTCAAAGATAGCTGTAATACATGCAAGTATTAAAATGAGGAAGAATTTCACCACTCCATCCCAGGATTTCCACATTTTAATCAGGTTTGCGCCACCGCCAATATTTCCTACCTGTTTTTTAACTCTGTCCAGTCTTTAAGCTGCGGCGTTTGGCTGCAAGCTCACGCTCACGCTCACTCAGAATGGAGGCATCATTTAGAAATGGAGCCTCTTTATGGGAGAAGACGCCGAGTATGAAATTCTTTCCCTTGCCTTCCTCCTACGCTTTGTTTTACACTTCTGAGGGCTGCGAGTCTTCAGGAGTGTTTTGCTTTTCATTCCTCTCTGAGGCCGTTTACAACCATAACATTTGCGGTCATAAATTTTGCCGCGGTCCACAGTGACAGGTGCAATTGTTATGCACGGCGCAGACTGCACCTCCTCAAGCCACCAACATACAGTACAGGGCCCTTTGATTTTTGGGTTTTGGCTTAATAAGAAATGCTGGCGCGTGTTTCTCAGTTAAATCTATAAAAACAAGTGTAGCTGATCTCAGTAATATCAACTAGAATATTTTTTTTATCTGAATCAGGTATATTATAGGTAACTTTTGAATAAATGAGACAGGACAAGGAAACCGAGCAGTTAGTCAAAATATTTGGTTTGAGGCTAATGAAATATCACATTTAACTGCCACCACAGCCCCAACCCCCACCCACCCATCTCCCTTTCATACACACAAACACACATCCACCACCTTCAGCAATTTTATATTAACATCAATAACAAGCAATGGTGAGGTTTAGCACTTCTTCTTGTGTGCGTAAACATCCACTGCAGGTTGCGGTTGCCCGGCCTTGGTGGGCTATATTTCTGCTACAGGGAACAATGCATGACAGGCTTTGTCAGGCCGTGTGATTAGTGAAAAGGGTATTGTGTGTATATGTGTGTCAAATGCTGATTCAGCTTATTTCTGCGGGAGTCTTAAGCCTCCCAGAGGGTCTTTTTTAGAGCAAGTTAAACTTTAACTGTTTTGTGCCAGAAATGAGTCACACGTAGGGTTCGAACCACTGCTGCATGGGAGATGATGTCTCACTGTTACAGACAGTGGAGAGACACTCGGTCATTTCTTAATTTAATATCTGTAGCCTATAGCGACCTGGGTCTGGGTCAAGTAAACTGACTCTTAGTTGACTGTGAGCTGGTTTATTTAAGCCCTTGTGGAGTGATGTTAGGTGTAGCTATAATGACTAAAGGCCTTATTCATGTGTGTCCAGATGAGTCTCATATATTTTCTTTTTATAGGTCACAGACTGGAGCGACGGTGGGAAACACCAATCACGTGAATAACAAACACCCATGCCATTGGATAGAGTCGCACTGGTTTGTTGGCTTTGAATCCACAAAATGCAGAAAGCAACATATTACGATAACTCTGGACTTTTTGGAGGCTACACCTACCCCAAACCAGACTCTTACAACTACGGACCCGCACATCATTCCTACCCTACTCCTAACATTGAGAATGACTACCAGGGCTCTGTGTGTCCCATCCAGACCTCTGCTGTCCGGCCCCCAACTCTCAAGGACAGTGACCTGAATGGAGACTGCATGCGGCAAAGCAGCAGCCAAAGCAACAGCAGCAGCAGCCAGGCCACGAGCATTGTGGAGCAGCAGGCACCTCCACTGTCTGCATCATCTCCCGGCTCCAACAGCTCTACATCACAGAAGAAGAAATCTCCATCCGGCAGCGCGTCAAACGCCGCAACACCAGCTCTCACAAAGCAGATATTCCCCTGGATGAAAGAGACCCGGCAAAACTCGAAGCAGAAGAGCAACAACTGCACCACCGCAGGTACAGATTATGATGGAGCAGTGTGTGTAGGGTGTGTGGGGGGCGGGGAGGAGGGGAGGAGGGGTGAACTGGGCCTTTGCTGTGTTTACACTTTATGAAGTAGTACTGTAGGATTAATATGGCTCATAAGACACTAAGATGCATATTCGTTCATTTACAGGTGGCGAGGTGAGTGATGAGAAGAGTCCACCGGGTCCAGCCTCCAAACGGGTCAGAACTGCTTACACCAGCGCACAGCTTGTGGAGCTGGAGAAGGAGTTTCACTTTAACCGCTATCTGTGTCGCCCTCGGAGAGTGGAAATGGCAAATCTGTTGAATCTCACCGAGCGCCAAATAAAGATCTGGTTTCAAAACAGGAGGATGAAATACAAAAAGGACCAGAAGTCTAAAGGGCTGGCGCACTCTCCCCTGGGACACTCTCCGGATAGAAGCCCGCCGCTGAGTGGCCCAAATCACATTGGATACTCTGGCCAGCTCCAAAACGTGAACAGCTTCAGCTATGACGCGCCCTCGCCCCCATCCCTCGCCAAACCCCAGCAAAACATGTACGGTTTGGCCGCGTACACGGCGCCCTTGGGTGGCTGCATCCCACAACAGAAGAGGTATCCGGGTTCCGAGTACGAACACCACGGCATGCAGAGCAACGGCAGCTTTGCCAACGCCAATTTGCAAGGCAGCCCCGTTTATGTGGGTGGGAATTTTGTTGATTCCATGCCAGCCTCGGGCCCCATGTTCAACCTCGGCCATCTTCCCCACCCATCATCCACCAGTGTGGACTACAGCTGTGCCGCTCAGATCCCAGGAAACCACCATCATGGACCCTGTGATCCCCATCCCACATACACAGACCTCACGTCTCATCAAGCGTCTCAGGGAAGGATTCAGGAAGCGCCTAAACTCACGCATTTGTAATGTGTTTTTTGTGCGTGTGTGTGCGCGCGCGAGTGTGTGTGTGCGCCGAAATTATGTTGCGCTCTTTTTATTACCTCACTAGTCTAATAAGTACACTCCAAGCGAGTCGTGTGTATTATTACAGTACTATTGATATTACTATTAATGCTATTGTGTAATTATTTTCTAAATAATACAGCTTTGTCCATTTCTCTTGAATATTTGGGGATGCGCAGAGACAGACTAGCCTGGTTGTCAGTTGTTCCTTTTTATGTTTTTTCCTTTCTTCTCAAGTGCAATGCGCAGTTTTTGGCTCAATATTTCACGCTGTTACTTGAAGGTAAGTCTTGTAGATCACAGAAGTAGAAGCCCATCTTTAGAGACAAGGACTTTTAGGGACATTTTTGTCTTGTTTGTCAGGATCTCATTTTCCTCACGGGCATCCTGTTTATTTATTTCTTTTTTTTATTATGTTGCATATTCTTTCGTGCTAGCATATAGCCTATTTATTATTTAATTCCTTTTCTATTGCACATTATTTATCATTTATATGCGAATATTTATAAGTGTGAACAATGTAAGATTGGACAGATCAGTGCACTTGGAAGTGTTGGCAAAACAGGGTTTGGAAAATGCTATGACTCGCCGTGTATTGTTGAAAAAGAGCATTTCTAAATGTAAATCTGAGAGAAATGGGGCACCTTATAGTGTAAAAACACCACTATATGTCCATGTTTAATCTTGTGTCAAATCTTAAGCAAAACGTAGACTATCGAAATATCAAATATTATACACACCAGCATGTCATTTTGTGTAGTCATTCCTATTTTTATTCGCCTTCCATTGTTATTTCATTCAGTTGGATATCCATAAATTTATGAAACCCTAATGATATTGAAATGTTATATTTTATTGTGTTTAACATTTTGTAAATAAAGTGCTCAAACTTGTCTTTTTTATTACGTTTTGTAGATTTTGTAAAACAACAACACCTGCAGCAGGAACACTGGTCACCCAGCGTTTCTGATGGTTTTAATTCCTCATTTAGTTGCTGCTGCCAGTGAAACTGTCAGGTAAAGTTACCGAGGAGGCTTATTGACTCGCAGCTCTACTGTACAGTTCAGACAGGGAGAGCCAATCGATAATTAGACACCAGGATATCTAAAACGCATCAGACGGCTCTGTGCTTCCAATGCAAAGTGCATTTCAGCGGAATAAAAGGCTCTGGAGATTATTGATGTTTTATTGGTATGAGGGAAGTGAGTCTATGGGCTTATTACATCTTCCACATGCCACTTTTTTCAGACTTGGCCACATGATTACCTTCCTATCTGCTGGGACAAAGGAATAAGCTCATTTTCTTATAAACCACAGTTTAATCACTAGCTGTCTAATTGATTGGTGCTGACTGAGACGGGGTTTCACAATACTATGACATAAATTGGCCGAGTGGAAGTATAAAAAAACGTGCTCATCCGCGTTTGGGTAAAGCAGGACAGGAGACAAAAGATGAAAATACACGATGCTTTGACATTTGAAATGATGCAACGATGGATGCCTGTGCGTGTGTGTGTGTTCTTGTACTTGCTACATAGAGAAGACCAAAAAAAAGTATTTTTTGCTACAGAGTGAGGACATTTTGGCCAGTCCTCACTTTCTGAAACACTTTTTCGAGAGTTAGGACTTGTTTTTAGGGTTCAGGTTATGATTAGGCATTTAGTTCTGATGGTTAAGGGTAAGGGGCTAGGGAATGCATTATGTCAATGAGTGTCCTCACAAAGATAGAAGTACGTGTGTGTGTTAGAAGGAGACGGGTCGGGGGGAGAGAGAGAGAGAGAGAGCAGTTCATCCTTTATTGCTCCTGGAGAGCCATTTCAAAGCTCATTAATCAAAAACTCGTCGCTTTCAGACTCCTCGCTGATCCCTCCTCCTCGTGAACAAAGCATTTGCATACCAAATCCAAGTAACACATTTCAAACCGAGCACCCCCGGTCCTTAATGGTGGTGGGAGCTTGGGAAGCAAACCTATTGTTTTCACGTTTTTTTAAAGATGATATATCCTCGGATTTAAGAAGGCATCAAGGCAGATGAAACTCTGGTCGCAGGTCCCACAGTCACAATGGCCCCTCTGCGTTCCAGCCAGTGGATTGCATGTGACTCACTATTATCCTGAATCTTTTAACAACAGCCTTTGAGCTTATTTAAACTTATTTCACAATAAATAATACATCTGGAATTTTGGCTATGGGCTCCTACAATAGGCTACAAATCATCCCAGTAGTCAGTGGATGGCGGCCATTTTAACCCTGAGTGAGCTCTTTCTTTCATGTCCCCCACTGCTGCTTTCTGCAGCCCGTGACTAATTTATAGAGCTCTAAAAAAAATTTATTTAAATAACATTTTTATAACTGAATGAAAACTTGTCCCCAAACAAGCTAATTATTAGTAAAAAAAAAATTTCCTTTTAATCAAAACTTATTTTCTGCAAGTTCAAATGGAAATGCAATGAAGACACGTTAAATTATTTCATTTACAAGAGAATATTTGTCTATCATGGCAACATCTAGTTTCAAATTCTGAGTATGATTTTGTTTCAAGGATCAACTCTAAAAGGTGATGATCACACTTGGACAAATGCGCCATCAAACCAGGAAGTAATCCAAGTCCACATTTTATTCATGAGACTCCAAAACGCGCAGGCTGATTACAGGTGTCACTCGGATCAAATTCAACAGGGAAGTTTGACCCCAAATGAAAATAGCAGCACACTTCCTTAGCTTGGAGCTGCTTTGAAGAAAAGCTACTTCATAGAGAGAGCTCAGATGTTTGTGGTTTTGAATTAGTTTCAGTATGTACTTTATTTCCATACGAGGTTGTGTGTACATTGTGTGTCCAGCTTTGTTGGATGAGGGAGTACAGCTGGGAGCTGTGTTTGTGTCGCTGATTGGCTCACAGCAGAGCAGACCACGCCTGCTCAGTGGAGGGCCATGCTTACCCACAGGGAAGTTGTTCTGCTCCAGGCTAACTATTAAGAAGTGCTGCTTATATTTCTTTATAGGGTACAGCAGGTTGAAATATCCTTTCCCACTGCACTAAAGATTGCAACGCTTTAATCAGTTCTCTTATAGAAAGTTGCTCTGCACATTGGCTTGGGCAGAACGTATCGCGATGATTCCTCTGTGCAATCGAGCAGCATCCATATCCCTCCCAGGAGGGCTTTAATGATTTCTCTTTTTACGCGCTGGTTGCAGGGACAAGAGGGAGCAGCAGTTCTGAAAACGTTGCAGAAGAAATTAAGCCCAGGTCGTTTTCTTCTTTTATCTGATTCGAGTTCTTCCTGTCCAGCTTTATTGGCAACAATCGAAGTTATTGTGGATTATCATCGGATCCAGACTGAAGGCTCTCAAATCACGACACAGTTGTTTGAAGTGATTTCAGAGCTGAAGAGTGGCCTGGAGCGGAAGACAGGAAAGAAAATGGCCCTGGAGGTCTGGTCTGGTTTCATCACAGCATCCCTCAACTAATCATTTTCTGTAATAGAGCAATAGGAGGTTGTGTGTTTTGTCTTTGTCATGCGTGATGATTTCAGGAACCCTACTGTAAAATGCAGAATTTCTTATTGTTGTTGAATTGTGACTTTTAAAATGAATTCCAGTTAAAGCAACTAATATACAAAACAATGTTTATATTGCCAGATTCAGGGTAGTATGCTTTAACAATATATGTATGATGATGGGAATGCCCTTTAAAAATTACATTGCATTGTATTTATTTCCATACTTGAATGTGTCTTCAGTCTGAAAAGCAAAACAATGACCTTAGTGACTCATTTTATGTTATTAGGATTAAAAGATGCTTTTGGATTAAACTGCATGTTTATTGTTATTATGCTGTTGTAAAAGTTTAATGGCAAGTCACTGAATGTTTGTTTTCTGACACTAAGTAGATTTTATTTGTCTAGAGAATCCACAGTTTTCTAATTAAAAGGCTTAATTTAACTGCCTTGAATTTGCATTTGTTTCATTTGACCTTATTATATTAATCTCTAGTTATTTTAATCTCTAAAAATGTTATTTTAAAAAGCACAGTATTTTTAGAACAGCACCATAGACCACAAAGCACATACCTATTTCTTTTTGTAAAAGGCTTTGTTTTCCAACTCTTCATACAAGTAACCACTTTGTACACCTGTTGGTAATAAGCTGATAGATGCTCACTGTTGCTGAACAGGTAAATAGACTCAACCATGAAACTGAAGGATGACTGCACACTGGTATAGACATAACAGGATTTTCTCCTCTGTCTAATGTCTTACAAGTTCAACTAAATAATAGAAAACATTTCACTGATGTGCAACCCCCTCTTTCTGTGCTTTGGATTTATTCACAGAGCCTCATTTGTATTAGTGTTGAGTAATTCTTTGGTATTAGACACAAGGAGGAAGTAAAATGATCTGTAGCACACATCCTGACCTACGCTGACAGAGAATGCCAGTGTTAGAGGACATCATTGTCATAAGTCCTTCCCATTCTCTGGCCTCTGCTCTCATTAAGGATTCACTACACGGCGTGTAGGTGGATGAACAGCGGACGCAGGCATTCTGCTCATGGTGGGGGTATCTGTGTTGGTTCCCATTTCATAGGTCTGTACTGCACGCTTCCTTCTGAAAGGAAACAGACTGCAGGGTTATATCAGACCTATGTGAAGACAATTTTTTATTGGAGGAACCTACATCTGAAAGGTTTGTTGACAAATCAAATTCATCACCTAATGGCCAAACACAAGTGAAGACCCTGAAATAAGATTGCAGCGCTCCACACAGAATTAGCCGAGTGTAGAGTTGTTCTCCTTTTTTTTTGCACCATCCATATCTGAAGCACCTGAAATCTTTAAAAATCATTAATTATCCTGTCAGACTGTCAGTTCTGCCTCTGGAGCTGTCAGCGTAGAGTAGGTGGTCCTTTGTATTGCACACTCAGCAGCAGGTTTATAGGTTAATGTTTTCAACATGCTAAAGATAAAGAACACTGGAGAAAGATGAGATTTGATGTGAGATTGAAAATCTGGGTCTCACACTTTAATACAGTTTTATGTTGAGCATGCTGATCCATAAAACA